AACATTTAATCTGTAGCTGCTTAGTATTAAATATTCTGTGGGGGTCCCACACAAATTATTGAAATAATCTAAGCACATAATTATATTCGTATACTATTCCGTCCAGAATGGCATGACAATGTTCACACTTTTTAATAAATTAAATATTTTGCAGGCTGATTACTCGCTCCTTCATTGTCCCTTTAATTTATATTTAGTAGCTGAGTTAGCTGTAATGATATAATTAACAATGTAATGTTTTAATTATCGTTAATGCATATGATTATTTTTATACATTTATTTCATTTATTTTTTTTAGGAAATATAATAATGGTTATATATTAATTATTCCTTATTTTATATGGTATTGATTTTTCTATATTCATGAACATTAATAGGATTTCTGCTGGACTTTTTCAGGTGGGACATGAACACGTCGGTGGTGCTGCCTGAGTTATCGCCGGCGGCAGCCGGGAAGGCGGAGGAGAGGGTGATCTACGTGGTGGGTTTGCTGCAGTCAGCAAATCCGGGCCGGTGCACGGCGGCATGTGTTAGCGATCTTCTAAAGCGACAGAGACACGTGGCAGAAATCGCCGCCGGTAATCGAATAGGAGCGAAGCAATATCTGGGCCGACAGCCGTCGCCGGCCCAATGGCGGAAGCACTTCGGGAGCAAGTGGGACCGGTTCGCCGATCGGAAGTCAAGGTTTGACCCTCTAGGTGTACTGGCACCCGGACAGGGAATTTTTGTCAGAACCCCCTCTTCTTCTTCATTTATTCAATAACCGCCCGGCAGCTGGAAATTATTTCGCTTGTACACTGAGATGGAGGGAGGGATACAGAGAGCAATTTATGGTTTGTGTTGAAGAGACTGTACTGTAATACTGTTTTGTTCTAAATGAAAGTTGTTTTTTTTTTTAATTTTTTTTTTAATTTTTTCTTTTCAATTTCATATTGCTGGGAGCATTTAAGATATTTAATTGTTATCCGAAAATAATACATAAATTAAAAAAAATTCACATAATAAGAATTAAATACAAACAATTTATGTGGTTCAACTTTTTTGTCTGTGTTTAAAAGAGAGGGATATTTTACTAGTATCGGATATGAGGAAGAAAAAAGTTAGGGGTACAACTTCAATACTTGTCACCATGATTCTCTCATGAATCCTAATTCTCTTTTATAGAAGATGATTAGGGCATACAAGAAATGAAGTCAAAAGTCTAAATTGCTCTTAATTATAAAAAAATTATAAATACTACAATCTATACATCATTTCTTACTTTCAGATAAGTGAAACATGAATAAATGAGCTTTAAATTTCAATTAAGTTGCACCAAGTTGATTGCTCACATCCCTCTTCTCGAAAGAATCAAGCCTCGTGTAATTTTTCATAATATTCGATTGAAAATCGGTCTTAAGCTCGAATGTTAATCAAACTCTTGCAGCAGGCGAACTTTCGGACTGGAATTATTTTCTGAGCATATTCGTTGGATTTTCTTATGTATCTATCTTCTTCAACAAGATAATATCGTTATCAATCTAGTCCTAAACAAACTGGCGTCTCACATCAATATGATTGATACGAACATGATGAACTTGATTTGTTGCTTAATTAACTACTAAGTCATCCAATAGGCTTTGCATCTATATTGCTTACTTCATAGTCTCCATGATTGTCCTGTACTCAACCTCCGTAGTAGACGAAACAACAATAGGCTAAATAACTGGCCTCCAACTGACTGGATTTTCTGCCAATGTGAATAAATAGTAAGTCGTAGATCTTCGTCTATCTGTATCACCAGTATAGTCTGAGTCAGTGTAACATACACACAAATTTGTAATAGATGTTTGCTTCTTAAACATCAAATCAACATCAAATGTATCTTTCAGATATCTCATAACACTATTCACAACCTCTCAATGCTTCCTTTTTAAATCATTTATGAACTTGTTCACAATATCAACTTCTTGTGCAAGGCCTAATCTAGTACAAACCATCACGCACATCAGATTGTCCACTGTACTGGCATAAAAAAACCAATCACATATCTTTCTTTTTTCCTATCATCTTTAGGACACAGATATGAACTTAACTGAAAGTGAGATGAAATTGATAGACTCCACTTTACTCGAGTCATGAAATTAAAATTTCTTCAGTATCTTTAGAACATAAGTTTCTTGTGCAAGCCAAACCTTACCAACAGCCTTGTCCCTGAGATCTCCATGCTAAGAATTCTGCGAGCTTCATCCAACTTCTTCATTTCAAAATATTTGGAGAGTTAATTATTCATTCTATCAACCTTAATTGACAAGTAGATGCAATTAAACATATCATCATTGTATTGAAGCAAGTAAATGAACTCAACACTGACCAAGTTCTTGAAATATACACAATGACCATACTAGCTCCTCGCGTACTCTTGTCCCATCATGAATTAATCAATTCAAGTATGCCACTGTCGTTGTGATTACTTCAATCCGTAAAAAAAAACATGTCGATTTTGCAAATAAAGTCTTTTGATGATCCATATCCAAGTGACTACAACCTGTAGATCACATCATGTTATTCTTCATGTAGGAATACATTCTTCACATTGAGCTGTTCCACCATCCCAGAAGTTTTGTTTTTTTAAACATTTCCTTGTTAAGAATTTTCATTCTTTTTTTCCCGAACTTTACTCATCCAGAAGATGAAGCTTTCCTTATATGAAAAAAAGACTTCCTTTTTCTCCATCGCAGCTTCCGCCGAAATTCCTCCTTCCAGAAATTCTTTCGCAGGCAATTTTGCAGTTTTCAACAAGAGGCCTACCGACCCGTTCCACGTCGGACCTTGTCGGAGCAGCCGGACCTCGCTGGAGCCTCCGATCATCGCCAAAATGTTGTCGCCAAACCCGCTGGAACCGCCACCACCAGAATCCTGCTGTCGCTCACGTCAGACCACCAGAATCCTGCACGGACCTTCAAATCTGCCGGCAAAGCACGTCAGACCACATGCTGCAAAAACCCTGACAGCACTTGCCGGATTTGTTGG